AGTTGACTCCATTCCATTGTTTATGTGTTCCAAAGATTAATAATGATCATAATTAACTAAAGACATCACAATTCTTGTAAAGAGAGCTAAAATTATCCTTTCTGACAATTAAAAGAAAAATTGATAAAAGTAATCAAAACTAAAGAAACCAAAGTACACTTAATTCAAGAAGTCAGTCACACTTTTTTGTTGCTTTTTCCTTAAAAAAAGCGCACCTAGGCACATAAGGCATGTGCCTATAAAAGGCACCTCACCAAAGGTGTGCAAGGGCTTTACTTGATTTACACTGCACCTAGGATCATGCCTTGACAACAATGGCATAATCTATGTGCCACCCATTTAAGTCAACATTTTACTGCCAGTAGTAGACAGTATGTGGTAGCACATTTAGTTTACAGTAGGAACCTACCAAGTCTGCCCCTGTTAACTTTCTTCTCCTCTAACCGCAGTATACGTCAACAAACAAGGTGAAAGACAAAAAGGTCCTCCCTTATCTTACTAGCATTATTTTAGCAATAGTCAATTAATGACTTGTGTTATACTAAAGCACGTAGTTAATATATGCAATGGATGAGATTCTAATATTTGATCACTATCCTACCCAGGCCAAATGAGCTACCTTATCATGAAATGACTAAATCTTCAACCACTAATCAAGCTGAACCCTGAGACTTATACAGGTCCTGATTTAAATAAATCATTAAAGCCAAAAACTTATACAGTTTCAGAATTTTGATATTTTGTAATTGGTTTAAATTAAAGACGAAGGATGGCAGTGACTCCATCATGAAAAGAGGCATCGCTTAAATTTGTGAACTGAAAAGAGCCCTATCTCACTATTCTGGCATCACATCTGTGTTCAACTTTCATTTTCTAATCGCTATTCTCAGTCATTCATCTAGTTCTTGCCACATGACAGGCTAGTCATGTTACCTTGTGAAATCTAAAAGTTATTTCCTGATAGAAATGTCCCCTATCCATTAAAAGTGGAAACAGGGGGTGCAATCTCTATAAGGCTAATTTTAACACAAGAATTCCTCAATTAATTGTATGAAAAACGGAAGCTTGCCAGGGCCATCTGCATGAAAAGGCCCAATCTAACTGATGAACATAGAGTGTTTAACTCAGGATGTCATTTCAAGATCAGGATATACAAGTTTCTAATTTCAAAAGACCATACCAACCATAGGTGGATTACACAACCATTGCTATAACAGAACCTACATGAACATAAATATCTCTGTACATATATCTGAAATAATAGCAGACCGTTCACAAATCCTAAAACAGAAATAACTTTCAAAGAAATGTCGCCTAATTAAGTCTCTTCATCGTTGTTAATTTTACTACTTGCTTCCTAGCAGTTACTAAACAGTAAAAGCAAATTCATCTTTGATTAAAAATAAGCACATGGCTAAAATGCGACATCCATTCACATATAATTGCACCATATAATGTAAAATTAATCATCTTGCTATTCTCAAATTTTAAAGTTACAAAAAACATTATACTATTTTCTTTTGATATCCCCAAATACACGTTTATTTTTTCCTCTCAGAAGTGAAACGCAAGTAGGCAAAAGTAATAGCCAACGGAAGAGTAAAATTATTTACAAATAGAACGCCCAAAACCGAAAATTATTTTCTTTCCAGAATATTCTTTTAAGGGAAAATTTAGAAACACAATCACAGGTAAATATATCAGTATATCTTTTTACAGGAATCTAAAAGAGTGACATTGAGGTCAAAACCCTAGAACTGGAAAACAAAATAAATTCCAAAAAGAAAAGCATGAAAAAATCGCACAAAAAAAAAAAACCTTCATGGGAGTCCAAACCCTGAGAGGGCTTGAGATTAACCAAAGCAGAAGAAGAAGAAGAAGCAGCAGCAACTGCGCCTCCAAAATCAGAGTGCAGACTGAGTGAGTCATCGTTGTATGGAACCAACTGAACATGTTGCTGCTGTAGTTGTTGTTGAAGCTGCTGGCTATGATGGTACTGTTGCAGCCGAGGATCGCTCTGCAAGGAGAGCATTTTTCCCTGCTTGGATCACCAGAAAACCTATTTTTGTCTAGAAAAAGGAGAAGAAAGGTCGAGAAAATTTTGATTTGTACTCGAGAAAATTCTGATTTTGGGAGAACCCCCGCTTTTCCGTTGTATTGTCTCCTTACGTCTGTTATCAAAAGCGACTACTCAGACCGTTAAACGTCGAGCTTCTTTTTGTTCCGTATTTATCACGTGTGAACTGTCTTCACTTATTGTTAGACTGGACATCCCATGGATTTCACCCACGTGGCGTATGATGATATCCTGCATATCTAAAGAGGGATTTGGCAATTTCGAGTAGGGGTTTGGAATTTTTGTGACAATAGAATGGGTTGTAGGGGATTTGAAGTTGTCCAGCGTTTTGGGTAGAAGCACACGTTAATTGGAGATACACGTGTCGAGAGACACGCATATGGAAATGGAGCAGATAATTACACTCGCTGGGTCATCTGAGAAAATCTGTCGGGCAAAGAGCCCGGTACTCATGGGCCGACGGGCCGGATAGGATCCAGCATGGGCCATCTGCCCTTCAGGACTTGATTATTCATCCCAACACCACCTTATCAATATTATAAACCCTTTTTTTATTTAAAACAAAAAAAAAAATTGAACTTTGCACTTCTAGGTGAGGATGTCTTCAACTAAAAATTAAATTATGAAAAAAGCCTACAAAAATATTTTGGAAGATTTTGCATCTATCATTTGTAATCAAGCCTATCAATATTATATACCTAATAAGGGGCAAATGGTAAATACCAAATTATCCGAAAATAGTAATGATACAAATAGAATATCGAATAAATATGGCTTTTGAAATCGATTTTCATTTATAAATCTTGATATACTTGGTGTTTGGTCCTTTTTTTACAAAAACATTATCCATGCAAGAATTGTTGCTTTTGTAACCTTCATCAGGAAAACATTGCCCAGGCAATCATGCAAGCATTCACCTTTGGGCGTCAGGACTAGACAGGACTTGTTGAGGCCTCCAGGGCGGATTCACCGCCAATTGTGAACATAGAGCAACTTTAATATCTTAATACGATGAGATGTCAAGTTACAATGTCAATCACATGAAACTACATTTCTTTCAAATGAAGAGGAAACATCTTCCTCAAGATAAACCACAATGTCATATCCTGAAATTCAGATGGCAGGCTAGCACCACAATGTATATATGTAGTACAGTTTATCATCTTCGACTTGAACGACTTATACAAAGTGGTTAAGATGATTTCTACTTATGTTCAACTGCAAATACAACATGAACCCAGGCACGAAGCTTACATAACCACATGATCCACAAGGGGATCTGACCATTTTTGCCATGTTAAGAATGTGATCATGGAAAGTATCAGACAGAGGCAAACCAAAATAACCAGCAATCTGCAAACCTGCTTAGAGTCCAAAGAGACAAGATTTCTTTATTAGATGCATTAGAAGAACTTCATCATACATGACCTTTCACACTTAACTGATTAGCACTATCTTAAGCTTTACTATACTATGGTAATTTTAGGACGAGCACTCTGCCTTCACTCTTCAATAACATTGAGAAGGAAAAAAGGGAGAAGGGATCCAGGAAAATAAAGGGGGATTGGGGCAAATGCTATCATGCCTTGCTGTCAATGGCCATGGATGTTGGCTCCCGTTTTGCTCCCTTTACTTGCTCTAATTTGTTCATCTTTGCAAAAATGTTGCCATAAAATTGTGCATCCTTCTTGTTGTACTCCCTGATTTTCTCCTTTAGGACTCGGTACTCCAGTTTCACATCCCTAGTATCAACACAAACATAGGTTTAACTCCAACTGCAATCACATCAATTGGAATAAAACAACTTACCGATGAAAACATGATGCCAAAGATGGTGCATCTGGATTTCTTATCCTACTTGTACTTTTCACTATAGTTTTCTAGTCCTTCTTAGTAACGTTATTCAAATTCAAGTCAGCACTTGATTAATTCCCAACTGCAGCAAAACACACACTCACGTAGAATATTTCTACAAGATATGTTCTCGAGCTCACATATGCCACAATACAAGGTAGGATGTACTGACTATAGCTAAGATAAATCACAAAAGCAACCACATTCGGATACAGCCAACTGTTTGCAGTAGGGAAATACCTGTTATCAGGGTCAATCTCCAGAGCCTTTTTGATATCCACCTCTGCCAAATCTAAATCAACAATTTGAATATATGCTTGAGCCCTCCTGTATAGAGCTTTCACGTTCTTATTATCAAGTTCTAACACCTATAAAATCACACATGCCTAACTGTCAGCACAATTGAATCAATATTTACACTTTGTCAAGACAAAATCCATATGCCATTAAAGCTACAACCTTAGTACACAGCTTCTCAGCCTGCTTGTAATCTTTAAGTTTCAACTTGCAAGCTGCATCGTTAAGATTGCAAGTTACTTTTAGCAACTTAGTTTGCTGCTTCTCCTCATCACTGAAAGAAGAGTCATACTCTATGAACTTAACAGCCTGCACATTGTTGCCAAATAGTCAACTCACAATTAAAATAAGTCTCAAGAATTTTATAAATGGGAAAGTGCCTGGTCCATAACTATACCTTCTCATATCTTTTTGATGCTCTTTCATATTTACCAGCCTTATATAATGCATTCCCTTCTTCTTTCTTTTTCCCTGCAGCTTCAATCTTTTCCTGTGTGTTCATATCCCAAGATTCTTTCTCCTGCAATCAATCATTAACTTATTAGACTGTAGGCAACACAACACCCATATGCAGCGTAGAAATGTACTACAGGGTTAAAAGGAGAACATACACACTAACCTTCACAAATGAGACCAACTCAACCTCATAATACACAGTTGCGTTTGCAGGAACAACAGCCAATTCTTGCTGTGATTCAGATGAACCAAAAGCATATTCTGGCTGAATAGTGATAAGTGCATGTTCTCCTTTCTTCATGGTCTTCACAGCTCTATCAAGACCATCAATTACTTGTTCTGTCACCAATGTCATCCACATTAGAAAGAACTTTAGACTCAAATACACGAGATCTTATTGAGAGGGAAAGCTAAGAAAAAGCTTCCAAAAAGAACCCTAATGCCAAAACCATGATTACCTTCATCTATTTTGAACTCAAAGAGCTCCTCATCATGACCTTTCTTCGCAAAGATCTTCCCATCCTGAAGCTTCCCAATTAATTTCACTAGCAAAGAATGCAAATAACAGTTATGAATACATTGAAAAACCATTGAAACAATTATAGACTATAGTGAAAAGTAATGTTCCAAGACATCTTACCATGAACCACTGTCCCATCGTTTGGTCGGTCATAACCCTCTCCCTCCTTCAAGATCTTCTTCATGACCTTCCTGTCCTTTGTGACATCAGAAACACTCTTCCAAGAAACCAACTCAAGAGTTATATGAAGGGTAGCATTTGGAGGAACAGCCCCTTCACTGGCCAATGCTGGCCTACCATCCTCACCAAATGCATCTGAAAATGCAAACAGGAAGCAGTTAGGTTTCATAGTGTGCCATAACCAATATAAAGGCATAAAGGAGTTCGACTTACATTGTGGCTTCACTGTCAACAAGACTTTCTCTCCTTTCTTCATTGTTTTTACTGCCTTTGCTAAGGCAGGGCAGAAATAGCCTGCAACAAATTTCAACATCATACTTGAGCTTGCAGAATTGATTTCAGATAAATGAGAACACATAATAAAAAGGAATCACACATACCATCTCCAACAGTGAACTCTATCCCATCAGATTTCGAAATGATAGTACCATCTTCTAAACAAGCTTCATATTTAACTGTTATAAATATAAGAAAATCATTGTCAGCAAACAGTCACATAAAAAATTGAATTTTTTAAGCAGCAAGAGGTGATCAATTAATAACATACCGAATGCTTCATCCAAATCTTTTGGATTTTCCCATTTCTCCCCTTTAACAAGTATTTTCTTGAAGATTCCTCCATCTTTGCATATGTCCTTGACACTATTCCAAGAAACCAATTCCACATCAAATTGAAGAGTTGCATTAGGAGGAATAGTTGGAGGTGATCCAGATTCCCCATACGCCAGCTCAGAAGGTATTGTGAAAATGGCATTTTCACCCCTCTTCATTGTTTTGATACCCTCATCCCAGCCCTTTATTACTTGCCCTGCAATTTAAGGGCGACAAAGAAGTGAGCATTTCCAATTCATGCAGTTACAAATAAATAATTAGCTATCAAAATAGTTAACTAAAATATAAATAAAGAAAATTTGTTAGTTTCTTGAATAACATAGCTATAATCTCCCTCCAATGCTTCAATGAAAAACTTCCACATATCGTACCAGACAATAATCTTAATCTTATCAAAGAGAGTTTTACATGTTAGACACGAAAAACTTTTAAAAAAGAAAACTTATCTTAAATACATAAATATCTTCAGATTTTATTAGAAAAATTGTAAAATTTATGCCAACAAGTTTTTTAAGAAACAAACATTTACTAAATTTATTTCACATATCATCCAACTTATTTTTTATGATTAGAAAATTCATCAAACCTTACTAAGTTCAATAAACGCTTTTTATCAAAAAGGAAAGTTGCAAGGATTATTCAAAAATGTTGGGCATTTCAAAATGTAAGGTCAGCATCTTATCTATATAATTTTACAAGAATAAATACATAAATATTTGACCAAATACTAAAACATCAAAACCGCAATTTTCAGAAACTGATAAAGTATTAACTATTAGAGATTTAAACCAGTTTTAATAGAGAGGTAACTAATTTCAATAGGAAATGAAGCCAAATATTTTACTTAAAACAGTTAAATAAACTCATTTACCTAAGCCAAGTTGGAACTTAAAAGTACTCCCTTTGTCCCGACTGGAATCAAATTTGGTTCCATCAAGCAAAGTCCCAGTGTAATGAACTGCAATGAATCAAAATCAACAAATCCGTCAACTCAAAATACCCAAAATTCAAAAAAAAAAAAACTAACCAACAAATCAATCCATGAAAGATGATGAAGAAAACCCATTACCTTCAACTTCATCACCAGTATCGGGAGTCTCCCATCCTTCACCTTCCTTAACCAGTTTTTTCTTCAGACCATTTTTCCCAATCTCTTTCTCCTCACCGACTTTGAGAATTGGGTCAATTGGGTCAACTGGTTCATTTTCTGGGTAGTGCATCTCGTCTTCTTCCATGTCGCTCCCTGTTGGGACCTCAAAATCGTCTTCCATTAATGAAATGCGCTAAGGTAAGCTAAGAGAAAATGTGAGAATTTAGGATTTCTAAAAAGGAAATGGCAAATGCTAGAAGGTTTGTTCGTTTGCTGATTGATGCGAGAAAGTGATCTGAGTCTTGGGGAATTTAAAGTTGACGTGTAGATGGAGAGAGCTATGGAGCGTAGACTCTAGAGAGTTCTAAAAGCTAACAGACTGAAGAGGGTTTCCAGAATTCTCCCTCCTTTTTTAGAGCGTTTGACGTTGTCTTTTAGATCTTCGCGCTTCTATTTAGGCCTTCAGGATCCGCTGATGCGTGGTTTTTTTTTTTTAATTTCAGTCCAAGTAACACTATTTAAATAATTTAATTATATTTATATATTATTAAGTTATTGATGAAAATTTATAAATGGAGTAAGAATATTATTGCACGTTTTTTAATAATCATTATTTTTAAATATATCTTTATAATATGTAATAATTCTTTAATTGTATTGATAAAATAATTTGTTACTAACAATTTATGAAATATAAAATAATAATTATCTTTTATGTATATATATTAACTTGAAATTAAGATTACATGATGAAAACAGTTATATCTCATACAATAAGTCACTTTTTTTATTTCTCGCTTATAATACTAAAATAAATACTAATAATTAATAATTAATTAATTATAATTACTTAAAATTATATTTATTATTTTATATGTATATGACGTTGATGTAGAAAATGAAAAATATTATATAATCATTTTATTATGTCACATTATTATCAATTATAATTAAGTTAATCATTAATCATGAATAATTTATTTAATTTAAAATAAATATATAAAAATTTATTTAAATTAAAATAAAAATAAAAATATTTGATTGAATATAATCAAAGTATAAAAGTTTATTTAATTTTTAAAATAATTTAAGAGCTTGTTAGATTAAAAAATTCAAATTAAAATATCACTGGTAGCTTTTTTGAAAAATAAAATCTAATATAACCATAATTATCAATGATTCGCTATAAATATATTTTTTAACTTATCATATTAATTATCAATATTAGAGTTAATAAAAAATTTGTTTTTAGAATAGAATATTAACAAGTATTTCACTTAGCAAAACATTGACTTTTGTTCCTTCTTTTTACTGTATTCAGATATATCACATTAAATTCCTCAAAAAAAAATATCACATTAATTATAACTCAAGCTTCATTGTCATGGATGAAAAACTGTTATTGATTATTGTAATATAACAATGCTACGAAAAAACTGTTATCGAAATAATTAAAAGCATGTTCTTAAAAGGTGTTTATTAAATGCATGCATTAAATCTCCAAAAAAAAAAAAGTAAATACATGTCCTACTGCAAAATTTTAATTATTTATTAACCAAATATACAAATATATTTTTGTTTATAATGAAATAAAATTTATTGAAGTTATAAATAAAAAAAATATGATTTTCCATTTTGTGAAATTTAATGAATTTTACCTTCCTTTTATTTTATTCTATCTATCTTAATTATAAGAAGTTTACTTCTTAATGTATCATTTAATTTACCTATTATATTGTTATATCTTTTAATTGTATTAGGAGTCTACCTATTTATTTTTATTTATCAATTAAATACCTAATAGAGTATAAGATCTTTATCAAAACCTAACTCTACCCTCACATATTACCTTTTTTTTTTTTTTTGCATATAAAACAATTTGCATTCTAAGAGGGGGACAGAGAAAGTTGTGGAGCATAGTGATTATTGAAAACCAATTGGTATGAAATGTATGTGCATTTATTTATTTTTATTTTGGCATAATGTTTGAAAAAAAGTTCTTAATTTATTTAAGAAAATTTAAACAATTTTGTATTTTTTTGTTATCTCTAATTAAATTTTTATATTTTTATTCTTAATCAAATAAGTTTTTTATTGATTGATTATCATTAATTAAAATACTGATATGAATGATCAAAATGCGATATGATTATGTTTTATATCATCTTTATTATGATATATCAATAACTGATGTCAGTATAACATTAATATCATATAATATAAAATAATAAATAATATTTTAATTAAATTAATAATTAATTATAAAATTTATTTGACTCAATAAATATATATAAATTTATTTGATTTAAGATAAAAATATAAAAATTTATTTACTTATATGAATTTTTTAAAATAATGTAAGTTTTTTTAAGCATTATTTTTTTTTCTTTTTGAGATTTGAATTACAAATAGGTCACAGGTATGCATAAAAATAAAGAGAAAAGCCTTACATGAATGAAACTGCCATCCTACCCTAGCCGTGCCAGATCTAATCTATTATTACTAGATCCAGAGCAGTGCCAACTGTTAACATGATTGGCTGCTGGGGGAAGTAATGACTTGACGTTGGTTCAGACATAGTGAAGGGGACAACACGATTTTATTGGCTTCTCTTGTATCCCCCCAACCTGAAAGTGCTAAAACTTTGCTGGCTTTGAATAATTATGCGATCGAACGTGGAAGAAGCATTAAAGATTATTCAAAATGCTTGTAGCCTTAAGTAAAGGATCAACTTTTGAAAGGAATTTTCTGATTGTCATCCTTTTAAGTCATGCAATGCCAACTGAACTGCTTTTGAGTAGAACCAAGGCCTCTTTCTTCAAAAATAGGGCTACACAACAAACCTTAGAGGGCCCAAACCATGAAGCTTGGGTGTTGAGTCTGCAAACCAGAGCCATTCTTCAACCAGTTTTTGGCGGTTCCATAAGATAAAACCAGTGTCAGTATTTTATTTTTTAAAGTGTATCAGTTATTGGGGGTTGGGGGGGTTTGCCATTGGTCTTGGCTGGGCTGCACAAGCAAAGACCCCTCCATCTCCTTTCTTTGTCATAGAGTTGTGTTGAATTATTTTGTTTCTGGGAATCCCATACATTCTGCATCCTTGCTCTGAACCAAATCCCCAAGCTGGATATTTTTCTACCCAGCTCTTGCTGATCGTATTGCACTAGTTTTGTGCGAGTTTGGAGTTAGTCATAACAAAGCATGGAGCGGCTTGGACTTTTGCATTCTTGGCAACTGTCTCAACCATCTAGAGACAGGACATTCTCCGTTAAATCACATAGCCTTAACAACTCCAATCGATTGTCTCCTCTTTATATGTCCAAATCATTCTCCATGAATTTTGACCACCCATCTTTTTCTACAGTCATTCCGACTATATCTAGGGTAACATTCTCATTCTTTTCCCTACACCGATGTCTTGCAGAGTTAGCAATTAAGTTTTAGTGAAAATTATATGTTGACCTATTAATCTGTTTGTATATAATGACAAAATGCAAAAGAAAAAAAAGGGCTAAACTTAAGCAAGTATTCAATGACATGAATGATTGTCGAATCTTGAAGCACAAAGTGAGAGAGACTTTTTTTTGTTGTTGGGTACTAAAATTAAACAAAAAGAAGTCCAATGGCATCGGTACATGTGAATAGAAAGCGCATAGCCTCCCGTAGTTATAAATCGTTCATCGAGGGCCTCGGCCTCTTCCCCTTAAATACCCATATTTTAGCTCAAACCCTTTTCTCAATTTTCTTTTGAGAAAAAAAAAAAAAAACTACTCCTCCATCCTCTTGTCTCTCGGTGACCCCTTTCGCTCCAGTTTCTCCTGGGGGTCGCCCAAAAATCAGGAAAAAACCAAAAAAAAAAGGAAAAAAACCCCAGAATTCTCATTCAATTCCTAAATTACTTATCAAATCTATCCCGAAAAAAATTAGAAAAACCAAAAAAAATAACAAGTTTTAATTTTTTCAAATAAATTTCAAACATGTCGGAAATGGCGAACACGGATCCCGAAGGGGTGGACGCCGTACGGATGACGTGGAACGTTTGGCCACGCACCAAAGTCGAAGCCAGCAAGTGCGTGATTCCGTTGGCTGCTTCAATCGCTCCGATCCGCCCTAACCCGGACATTCCCACCCTCCCTTACGCTCCGCTACGATGCAAGACCTGTTCCGCCGCGCTTAACGCTTACGCCCGCGTGGACTTCACGGCCAAGATCTGGATCTGCCCGTTCTGTTACCAGCGTAACCATTTTCCGCCTCACTATGCCATGATCTCCGAAACCAACCTCCCTTGCGAACTCTACCCGCAATATACCACCGTGCAATACACGCTCCAAGCGAATCCCGATCCAAACAACCCTTCCGGCCCACCTCAATTGCCGCCGGTTTTTGTGTTCGTATTGGACACGTGCATGATCGAGGAAGAGCTGGCGTTTGTTAAATCGGCGATGAATCAGGCGATTGGGTTGTTGCCGGAACACGCGCTTGTCGGCTTTGTTTCGTTTGGCACTCAGGCGCAGGTCCACGAATTGGGGTTCCAGGATATGTCGAAGGTCTATGTTTTCAGGGGTAGTAAGGAGATTTCCAAGGAGCAGGTTTTAGAGCAGTTGGGCCTCGGTGTTGCTGGGCGGCGGCCAACCCCTGGGTATCCAAAAGGCCTGCAAAATGGGTACACAAATACCGGCGTTAACCGGTTTTTATTGCCCGCGTCAGATTGCGAATACACGCTCAATTCGGTGCGTTTAGATTTATATGTCGTGGGAATTCATTTGTTAAATGTTTGAATTTTTCTATTAAGTGGTTGGTTGATTTGATTGTAGTTGTTGGATGAGTTGCAAACGGATCAATGGCCTGTACAACCAGGGCACAGGGCGTCCAGGTGCACTGGAGTGGCCTTGAGTGTTGCAGCAGGATTGCTTGGAGCTTGCTTGCCTGGTACTGGTGCTAGGATTGTTGCTTTGGTTGGTGGTCCATGTACTGAAGGACCGGGCACGGTATTGCCATTAAATTCTTTGTTTAGCTTTTGAATTCTTACCTATTCCACAATTATGGTACATAGCAAATTTAAATAGCCAATAGTATGGCATTTATCATTCGTTTTGTCATGTGAAGTATAGGTATGGATGTTGCATATGGATAATATGTTATGGCTGAGATGGATATGGTTTGTTACTATCAGTATGACCTTTTGCTGCAACCCTGAAAGTTCTATTCACTGTTACATCACTAATGTCCGTCCATTTTACTTTTCTCTGTGGTTAAATATTATATAACATTATACAACATTATGCCCCATGTTTCTTTGGGGATGGTATTTGATAAAAATTGGAGGCAAATTAAACTGAAGCACATGAGCAACAATGACTGGAGCTCGTTTTAAAAGGAAATGGGGCTATGTTTAGGTTTTTGTTTGATTAGCATTGAATGTCAGTGCATTTTTGTTACTAGGAGAAACCCTATTTCATAAACATTATTCCTATTAAGTACCTTCATTCTGTCTCCAGAGTTCTTGGCAAAATTTCATGTAATCTGTATAGTTTCATATAAGATGGACATTGTATTGCTAATTGCCTTAACTTTACTGTTTGTTTGTGTGAGATGTGTGCCCTTCTTGAATACCTTTTACTGGTAGGAATAACGCAAATGCAACAATGATTTAACTGAGAAAATAGAGATTAAGCAAACAACTTTAATTTCAGAATTGCTTCTTGTTAAATTTGTATTGGCATTCTCAAGATGATAATTAATTATATGATTTTTGCAGATTGTATCGAAAGACTTGTCAGATCCTGTGCGTTCCCATAAAGATCTTGACAAAGATGCTGCCCCATATTTTAAGAAAGCAGTCAAATTTTATGATGGTCTTGCGAAACAGCTGGTTAGCCAGGGTCATGTACTTGACCTTTTTGCGTCTGCACTTGATCAGGTTTGTCTTGGCCACCTTTTAGGTTCGCTAATGATATTTAAACTCTTTTTGTTGTTCAGAAATCTGTTTCTATGACAGATCTTGGTTTGTTTGCTTCTATATGCTCAAGTGATAACTATAATGTGTCTGCTTTCATATTCTGCCCGAACTAGTTAGAAGTTGTATCACTCTCTTAATAAGGACATTGATTTAATTGACAAATTTTTGGTTATTTTATGGCTTCTAATTAATCCCATGAATTAAACTAAAGCATTGATGACACTGCTGAAGCTGATTAGATATAAGGGCCCTATATTATATTTGGAAAATTGAACAACCCAATATGTAATTCTTACTTTATAGACCATCTCTCTCTTTCTCACTTGCATTTAAAATTCACTGTTTATTTGATTGGTGGCTTATGTGTAGATGTTTTATGTTATAAACAACTGTGGATGCTAATGGTTATTCCATTAACCAGTGTTGTAAACATTTTGTTTTAATGCTAATAATTTCAGACGTTAATAATCTTCACAATGTAAACTGTATGTAATCGTGTTATGGGTTTTCATGTGTTCTCAGGTTGGGGTTGCTGAAATGAAAGTTGCAGTTGAAAGAACAGGTGGCCTTGTTGTTCTAGCTGAAAGTTTTGGTCATTCTGTATTCAAAGACTCTTTCAAGCGTGTGTTTGAGGATGGGGAACAGTCTCTTGGCCTATGTTTTAAGTTAGTCCTTGTTACCATGCCAATGTTTTTGTTCTTGATGAACTTTTTAAGTTTACGTTTCTCTACTCTTATTCTTGAGCATTGATAAATAACTATATAGTTGCATCATTAATTGGTAAACTTTCATTTTTATTCCGGTTCTAGTTGTCCTTGTGTTATTTGCTTGAGTTCTGGATGCACCAACCACCCAGTTCACGTTTAATTTAGTTGGGATATCATTCTGCACTAGGTAATGCTGCTGTTAGAGAATGTAAATTTTAGACATAAAAGCTTGCTGCCCTTGCTTTACTGCAGGAAGCAGAGGACAAATTTATCAAATTGCACAAGCTGCATATATGAAAATGATTAAACACTAGTATTTCTCTGTTGTCATTACCCTGTTGGTTTTATAGGTTTTTTTAAGTGTTGCAAATGCGAGTGCTTGTGTTATTGACAGTGGTGTAAGCATTACCATGTGGCATAAATGACCTCTCCATAACATGGGGTACCCATGAAATAATCTATTTGGTTTTGCTTTGGGTTAAGTTTTTGTGTCCACAACTCCACATGCAATATCTGTTACTTATGATTAGCTATGGCATAGTTTGGAGCACCCTGAAATATCAACTATTTTAGACTGTAGTATAAATTTCAAACTCATTTTAAGCTCATTTTTTATCTTTCTTTATAGTGGCATGCTCGAGATCAACTGTTCAAAAGACATCAAGATTCAGGGGGTCATTGGACCTTGCACATCTTTGGAGAAGGTTGGACTATTTAACAATTTAATAACACCTCTCACTCTAAACTGTACACTTAGTTAACTTGTATTTATGGTGATTTAAGCTGATTACTGTGATTGTTGCAGAAAGGACCGAATGTCGCTGACACAGTCATTGGGGAGGGAAACACTACAGTGTGGAAAATGTGTGGCCTTGACAAGAGTACTTGCTTGACGGTTTTATTTGATCTTTCATCAACTGAGCGATCAAATGTTCCCGGAGCTGCAAATCCACAACTCTATTTGCAGTTTCTGACAAGGTTTGTGACATGAACTAATCAAAAGGGTCCTTTTTATTACCCGGAAATAATGTTTGATTTGTTTCTTTACTTTGTTCTTTTGCTTATTTGATTGTGATGTTTATGTAATTGCAGTTATCAAAACCCTGAAGGTAAAACAATGCTTCGAGTTACTACTGTGACAAGAAGATGGGTAGACAGTGCTGTTAGTGCAGAGGTTGGTTTATATTTTATCATTTTTGTACTTTTGGTTGTTTGTAATTGTCGAAATAACATCTAAGCTATCATTTTCATTTCTGCCATCTCATCCCATTTTGTGTTTTGTGAAATGTCTCATTTGGTTGTATTTAAGAGGGGTTTTTTCCCCAACATGGCAGGTTAGGTGATGTGTATAAATGTCACTGGCATGTGTGTCTTGGTCTGGATCCTCTAATAGTCATATGATTGATTGTGTTTGTTGGAATTGTTTATGCTAACTTTGAACCATTGTAGGAACTAGTACAAGGTTTTGATCAAGAGACTGCAGCTGTTGTAATGGCAAGAATAACTTCGCTGAAAATGGAGACAGAGGTAATTGAAAAAGTCTTCCATTCAATTGTCTACCATTTGTTGTGTATCTTGTTTGAATGACACTACACTGTTAACCTATAATTTATTCAGCTAATACCTGCTGCTTAGGTCACCATGCTATTGCTTATCTGATAATTTCTACTCTCGTTCTCTATTCACATTATGCATAAGAACTTTTTCTCTTAATACCTTGCCTACTGGTTAGCAGTTCTCTCTCCTTGCTTTTCTCCTAGCTCAACGTTCCCCCCTTGTTATATTTTCTATCTATTAATTGCTGGCTCGTTGCCAATAGAATAACATGTTTTAACTGTTGCATGTAATCACTTTTTTATTAATGGCTTAACCCCTTGCCTAATTATGGATTTTTGTTTCATTTAGGAGGGGTTTGATGCCACACGGTGGTTAGATCGGAATCTCATTCGACTTTGTTCCAAATTTGGTGACTATCGGAAGGATGATCCATCATCTTTTACATTAAATCCGTGTTTTTCGTTGTTTCCTCAGTTTATGTTTAATCTGCGGCGGTCACAATTTGTACAGGTAACTGTTTCTTGTTTCTAATTTCCTGCCCTTTTAATAATATTTAACTAATTGACCTATGTTCATATATGGCTTTTCTTTCTTTCCTGTTTTGTGACAGGTTTTTAATAACAGTCCAGATGAAACTGCCTATTTCCGCATGTTATTAAACAAGGAAAATATTACAAATGCAGCTGTTATGATCCAACCATCATTAATATCATATTCATTCAATTCGCTGCCCCAACCAGCATTATTGGATGTGGCTTCCATTTCAGCTGATCGTATTCTCTTGCTGGATTCATATTTCAGTATTGTTGTTTTCCATGGTATGACAATAGCGCAGTGGCGGAACATGGGTTACCAGAATCAGCCTGAACACCAGGTATGCTCATTTTGTTCATACTATCTTAATCTAGAGTTTTGATGTAAAGATTTATTTAGAATGGTTATGTATTCGTAATGTGCACAAGTGACTTGGATTAAGCATGCCCTATGGACATTAATCATAATAATCTGCTACCTCTCTGATTCCTATAATTGAGTATGCTCTGGGGAAGGCTGGTGCATTGTTGTGCTTGTTGAAATGATTCCTGGCATCATATAGTGGACCGGTTTATAGGATTAATGAAGTGTTTTATGCATACTTTATAATGCTTCTGCATTTTTAAAAGCTAAATAATTGCTATTTTATGTTTATTTGGCAAAGCTTACTCTAAGCTATAGGAAGGGGATGCCAATAAGATATGTTCTATGTTTACCTGGCTATTGGCTCTGTTTAACCTGGTTTAATTGGTCTCGTTATTCTTCTAAAAGCCTGAGCGACTGGCTTAAGAACTTTCCATTGATCATATTTCTATTTGCTTTGGCTTTTTCCGATCTCTTGTTTTGGCTTATAAGTTATAACCTAGTAGCTGGTTTTGAACTTTAACTTTCTTCTATGTGATCTGTCTCTTCTTCTTTATCACTTCTTTTATTCTGGAGACTGGCAATTTGTCTTATTGAGGAACATGGTGCCTTTTTCCTAGGATGAGATATATGGTAATGGCATGTTTGTTTTGCAACGTCCATTATATGTTGAGCTCCAAATTGCAATATTTTCTTGGATTGTTGGGAATTTGCCTGTTCCTCAATGGAGTTTCTAATGCTGCTTAAATTCCAGTGTTTACTACCCCATTTCTATGTTCATACAGTCAATGATTCTGTTGTCTAAAGCTAGATTTTTTTCAATAGGCATTTGCACAGCTTTTGCAAGCACCCCAAGACGATGCCCTAGTGATTATTCGGGAACGCTTCCCTGTCCCTAGATTGGTTGTGTGTGATCAGCATGGATCCCAGGTTAGCATATTTCATAAAGACCGAATTCTTTTACATATTTTTTTGGAGATATAAAAATATGTCCTTGATTTACCTTTGAATTACATTTCATCAATTTTAAATAGATGCTAATATAATTTATGGCTTCAATAAGTGAGTAATTATTAAATTTTGCAACACAATTCATAGGAAAATTGAGTAGAGTTTTTAAATGTGCTTTGGATCAATTAGTACGAATAACATGCAAAATGAATTAGCAAATAAATAACCTGATACTAAACCTACCAAACAGTAATTTGTTAAATTCTGGAAAGTACTGGAAAAGTAGAAAATTGTAGTATTATTTAATGATGAAGCTAACCATTTGTTGTAGTTAAAACTGAGTAGTTATGTGGAATTGTGTCTCTCTGTCTGATATAAGATTAGGGTGCTTGTAGGTCTATGGCTGAGGCAATAGGCCACACCACCAAATGTGTGTTCAAAGTTGAATTCCTAGTCCTCCCAATTTAATTTTAAACTCATGGTGCAGTTGCATCTAGTTTGTCTTTGCTGTGAACTCTTTGCATCAAATTCTCAAAAGCTTGATAAATGTTAGTGAATGTTACCAGTGCAGATTTGTTTTATTGCTACATCGATTTAGCTCGATAATTCAGTATCTGTGGTTCATAGTACATTCTGTGGGTTTAGCTTTGATATCATTTACTTCCCACTGATATGATACCATCATTATATTCTTCTGTTAATCTAGTTTGATGTTCATCTCTACCTTTTTCTTCAGTCCTATATTACAGTTTTATATCAGCTTATGATCATGTTAATATATCCATATTTTATTGCTGTTTCATATTTATTGTGAAGTTTAAATAGGTTAGCAGTAGATTAGGTACCTTATGAACTGTTTTTTTTTTATGTGGCCTATGGATTGTGTTTTTAAGTTTGAAATGTCATCTTGCAAATTTATTCTACATGATAATGATTTTGAAAAGCAAGGCTGGCTTGAGCTATCCCTGTCCTTCAGTTAGAATATTGACTTTTTCGGTGTACTTAAGAGGCACTTGTGGGAAATTAAATCCACAATAAAGGATGGAGTGCCATGCTTGTGGCCTTGCCACGTCTGGGTCCATGACTGGAGCTTCTGGTATTTGGTGACACAACACCCCCTCTCTCCAGCCCCCTTTTGTTACTTCCCAAAGCGGTTTTACTTTAGAGGCTTAAACTGGTACTCTTGAATTGTTATTTTACCAATACCAAGGGGCTTATTTTTGATTCCTCGCGCAGGCACGATTTTTATTGGCAAAGTTGAACCCTTCAGCAACATACAATAATGCAAATGATATAGCTGCTGGATCTGATGTGATCTTTACAGATGATGTAAGCTTACAAGTCTTCTTTGAGCATCTTCAGAGGTTGGCTGTGCAATCTTGATTGTAGAAAATAGTTGAAAGACTTGGGTTTTTGGTATGGGGAATTCCCTCAAGTGTGAGTTCTGTATCCTGTCATACATCCTCTATTCCATTCGGTCATTTTCCTTTCTTTCCATCAATTTTATGAATGAGAGGTCGAACCCCACAATATTTGAGAAATAAAGATAGCACACATCATTCTTTTTGGGGGGGTGGGGGGTGGGGTGGGGGGGTTGCCTGAGAGGTATTTGCTTCCTTGAAAGAATAAGGGACGCAACAAGAGTTCAGATGAGTTTTTACATTTTTAGGGAAAGGAAGGTATGATGAGAATGTAAGTTTGAGGATCCCTGTTTCAGTAGCGGGGCCAATTAGGATTATATTTGACAGAAAATTCTCTTTTTGTATTCACAGAGGTCACAGGTCATGTGTTTGTGTACTGAATATCAGGTCATATACTCATTGGGGTTAAGACTCTTAGGTTGAGAAGTTGATGAACATTGGTCATTTTGTTTTGTTTGTTTCAGCCCACACTTGAAAATTCAAGGTATTCTAATTTATCCAACTTAGCTTTAATTTGTTTTTGTTAGTCATGTGATTCTAAATTTCCCCTCAAACTCTTACTGGTTTGGTAAAGCCAGAAGCCAATGAAATCAGGACTTGTGCTTGATCATGTTTCTATTTAGGTATATTTTAATTCAGTTGCAATGTTAATGGAAAGTAGTATATTTTCTCATCTCTTTCTGCATGGTGGTGGTAACAAACCAAATGACAAATTGAATTAAGAAACGGGGCATAATGTTGGTAACATAGGTAGTATATTAGTACTATTTATTTGTATTCTATGTATTGAAATTGAGAAATCCGGAAAAGAGAAAAGGACGAAGAAAAAACCCAAGAAAGAATATGAAAGAAGAGGACGGAATCAAGGCTTACATCCATTGCAAACAAGCGTTCATATATGGCCCTTTGCCGCAAGGAAAGGCTGAAATTCAAGCAACAAGGTGTCACTAAAATAGAAGTGGTCTAGGAGCAGAGCTGCTGAACGAGGCATCCGTCAAGTAGAAGGAAAACGAAGAAATCGAAGACAAAAGCCAATGACGATTGAAAAGCCGCAGCCCTGTTTTTGCTGCGATGAACACAAGGACTTTTAGATGTGATTAATTCTTGAATGGCGTGTGATCACTAATTAATTTACGTATTTCTTAACCAGATCCTTTATAATTATTAGCGGAATCATATCATTGAAAAGCCTCTCTTAAATTCAAATTACTCAATCATTTGTTCGCAATTTGCCTGACAAAATTTTCTTTTAAAGTTTCTTAATTTTGAATTCTTTTTTTAAATTCAAGATATAAGGAAAAGAAAAATTGTTCTTTTTTGCGCATTGACATGGCATGGCTACATTTATGCTAGCGCCCAAAATAAGAGGAAAACAATAAAAAGAAAAAGAATTTAAGAATATATATATATATATATATATATAAATATGAAAAAAATTCCCCATTCCCGCTCAAATTCAAAATCAGCTGCTCTCTTCCTCTCTGCGCAATGATGTTGGAAGATTCACAAGAACCAGACGTCTCATTCTTTGTGGATCAAGAACCAGCGGCAATCCAATGTTCGCAAGGCCACAGAACCACGCTCTGTCTCCGGACTCAACAAGGCGGCTCAATCTGCCTCCTCTGCTTCTCCAACCTCATCTCCAACCAATCCTCTCCTACTCTCCACGTCTCCTACGCTCTCTCCCAACTCTCCCACGCTCTATCCCAACCTCTTTTTCTCAACTCCCTCCTCTCCTTCCATCCCCACTTCCTTATCTCCCCTCTCCTCCACGCCCTCTCTTCCTTCGACGACGATCCCATCGCTCAACAACTCATCGATATAATCACCGCCCTTTGCGCTTCTGCTAATGCCTCTGTGACTACCGATTTCGTCGCGCAAGTGGCCGAAAAACTATCTTCTGGCGAGTTGGCGTGGAGCCGGAGGCAGCTTTATATGGTAAGTGTACATTTTGGTGGTTGTTTCTGTTGTCGCTCTGTTCGACTGATAAGTTAAATGAAGCCTAAGCAAGAATAGCTAGAAATTTTTTTCCCCTTAAGTAATATTCTCAAAAAAATTCGGACAACTGATCTATCGCCATGTCTGCTTATCTAAATTCCAGCTTCACTGCTTAGGGGTTCTCTTGAACTGTCGAGCAACTGAACCCTGCATGCACATCAGAGACAAAGTCGCTCTAGTATCCAATTTGGTAGCAGGTCTTCAATTGCCAAGGTAACAAAGAAAGCAGACTAGATATGACAGTTTTATGTTTCTAATCTGGATAGTGGTTCTTTACATGGTGGTTTCCTACTACAGTGATGAAATCCGAGGAGAGATTCTTTTTGTTCTGTACAAACTATCCCTCCATGTATATACATCTAAAGATTGTGTAGGAGCAGATGTTCTTCAGGCTTTTTGTCCTAGCCTGTTGCGTCTGTCAATGGAAGCAATTCTGAAAACCCAAAGAGATGATGTACGATTGAATGGTGTAGGTTTGTAATCTACTTTTGTTTACTGATTCATTTAATTTTTTCAAAATTTCATGTCAAGAGAAACTGATATTTTTTGCCCGAAGCTTAGGCCACAGGAAGCAACATGAAAGTATAAATTTTGTCACACTCCATGGTAGGCAAGTCTTTTATGTAAATCTAGTTGACATAATTCAATGGTGATTGCCTCCAGTCTAGTTTATTGTTTCGTTGTGCGTATCATGGTTTCCATTAAGGTCTTCATAAAAAAAGTACTGGGTGTGTGCGTGACCACATGTACTGAGCGCTCACACTGTCAAGTAAGGCCGTTTTCATCCAAGCAGCTGCACTTCATCATGATCATCATCATAATATATCCTCTCAAACTAACAATTTGCAATCTTACTTTTGTAGCTTTTTTAATGCTCTTAGCACAAAATGGATTGTTTGGAAATGGACATGGTAATGAAATAAGCAGTATGAGATCCGATGAAGCAGACAACTTCATTCAAACAACAGAAGATGGACTAGATGAACCCCCATTGAGCTTGTTGTTTGCTGAGGCCATCAAAGGCCCACTGCTTTCGTCAGACAGCCAAGTGCAAATCAGCACACTGCTCCTGATTTTCCACTACTTGTCATGTGGAGATGCTTCCGCCAAACAGATTCAGATTTTGGTAGAAGAAAATATTGTGGATTATTTGTTTGAGATATTAAGATTGTCAGGCAAGTTAACTAAATCTAAATAGGTGAAAGATATTCAACTTTCCTCAGTGAGTCAGAACAAAATGCTGCTTTCATAAGCACCTCCATACAAATTAAGATCAGTAGTTTTAGTTTTTGAAGCTTCTTGTAACATTCTGTTTTAAATCACCTAAAAATTTCTATGATCTAATTCTTGTCAGGAAAATCATTATGACAGCAGTTTTTCATTTTCTTGTTTTTTTCAAACTCTAATATTATCTATTAACTTAGTTAATGAGTGCTCATCATGAAATTATACAGGCATTTATTATGTGTGGATGGTGCTTATGTTTGTACAGACATACACATGTGCATGCATATTTATGTTCATATGTATGATAAGTATATCATGCTGAGAGACTTTTGCAGTAACGAACTTCTATTTGTGTTGAACAGAATGTAAGGATCCAGTGGTCTACTCTTGTCTTAATGTTCTAAATCTCTTTCCAAGTACTGAGCAGGCCTTCAGACAAAGGCTTGTTATTGGTTTTCCAACTCTGATTCCAGTGCTCCGTTTTGTGGCCGAAGTTCCTTTCCACCCTGCTCAACCTCACACACTAAAGCTCATAAAGAACTGTGTCTCTGATTGCCCTGGAATAGCATCAACCTCTAACATTGAAGAATTAGCTCTTATTTTGTCAAGGATGCTTGAAAGGCATAGAGGTGGAGAAATTGGCATGAACCCAGAGACATTCCTATTGGTTTGTTCTATCTTTGTTGTTCTTTTGAGAATCCCATCTTCTCAAGGCGCTTCAAATCTGGCAGCATTACTTCAAGAATCATTGAAACATGCTGTTTTAACTAGTCTTGAGAAAGATCCAGGTCAACTCTTGCATTCTTTATACCTTCTTAAAGAAGCATATTCATACACTAATGAAGAGTTCACTGCAAACGAGTCTAGCAACTTAGAACTGCGAAATTGTACTGTGGACATATGTACATCACATATATTACCTTGGTTTGCCATGGCTATTAATGAAATTGATGAGGACACTGTCCTGGGTGTATTAGAAACATTCCATTTTATACTGCTTCAGAATCCTGACATCGAAGCAACAGAACTTGCCAAAGTCCTACTTTCATCCTCTTGGTTCAGTTTGTCATTCGGGTGTCTAGGATTATTTCCTACCGAAAAGATGAAGTGGAGAGTATATCTAATGCTCAGTTCCCTTGTGGATATTCTGTTGGGAAATCAAGCCGGACAACCTGTTAGAAATGCTGCTTTATTTCTTCCAACTGATCCTATTGACTTGCTATTTCTGCTTGGGCAGAAGAACTCCCATGATTTAGATTTGTCTTCTTGTCAAGCTGCAATTTTGCTGCTTCTACATGTCAGTTGCCTACATGATGACTGGTAAATGAGCAGCCTGGTTTCTTCATCTCAGTCATATTGGAGTACTAACATTTGTATTTTACCTACATTTCCTACTGTTCTCACTATCTTCCACAGGCTTGCAGATGAGCGGTCGATTTTAGCTTCTCTGGAGCAATATATTCTTGTTAACAGTGGAGATATCTTCTCTGGGGGCATTGATTCATTGACAATGATGCAAGTGTTGAATCTTTATGGCCTATGTAGAGGTCTTAAAAAGGTGAACTACGAAGTCTCTCACAGCCCAGAAGCTGAGAGGATCTTGTTCCATATACTGACTGAAAGTGAATGTGATTTGCCTTCTGCAATGATTCACCCAGTGGCAGTGATATGGTTGTTTCAACAAGAGAAAATCTGCAAGCCATTATCTTACCAACTTCTAAAATTCTGCAGAAGAAATTGCTCAGATGGGAACCAAATTATCATCCATGGGGATAACAGTCATATTATAGATGTACAAGTAATTGCTGAGTTGGTTGTGACAGGAGATAACTATGCTGCAAAACTATTGATGTGTTTATTGGTACAGCTTTCTGAGGAAGGAGCCCAAAAGCATGACATAGTAGCAGTAGTAAATCTTATAGCAACAGTCATTAACATCTTTCCAGCTGCCTCAGACCAACTATGCTTGCATGGGATCAGCAACGCAATCCTAACGGTAGTTTATTATAATTCAAGTCATTCTTCTTCCTCAGAGTTGCTTGTGGCCATCTTACTTCTGATATGTAATATTTTAAGTTCAGTGCACCCTGAAAAACTTTCTGATGGTGAATCTTGGCTTGCATTGTCTACAAAGGTATTGTGTCAAAAGTTTTCTTGTATATGACTACTCACAGTTTCAGGAAATTAATGGGTCTTTTATTCTTTGTAGTTGATAGACAGCTTAATTCCTGCAGTTAAAAAGTATGGCTGGAATCAGGAAGGTTTACTGTTAGTGGGCATCCTCTCCCTGATTTTGCATCATTCTTCCAACAAAGTACTCATTGAAGCTGCAAAAAGCATAGTTTGTAATGCTTCCTTGATCTCTACAATCAACAGCACAGTCCAGGCTGTCTCTGGGAAGGGGCCTGCTCTAATCGAGTATGATGAAGGAACAAGCTCTGGGGAAAATCTAATATTTTTGCTTTTGTTATACTACTTCTCTTTAAGATGGTAAGCACCTTGTTATAATGATCCTGTATAAATCCATGCTGTGAAAACTAACTTGTTTGTTGTCAGCTTACGTGCTGTTCTACCAGAGGTTCTGGACTGGCAAACTTTCCTCAATTCACCAAATGTGATGCAACCTCTTTCTACAATCAACATACACTGGCACGATTTGTGCAGGCTGATGCATTTCGGGTCTCCAATGGTCAAGCTTGTTGCTTCATCTTGCCTGCTAGAGCTTTTTTCTGGAATATCATATCAGAAAAAAAGGAAACATGAGGAGTTACAATGCTTCATGGGTCACCTAATGTCCATAATGACCGTCTTAGAAGGTCTGGTATTTTATGATGACATTAGGGTGGCAATGAATTGTTGCCTCTGCTTATCAATAATTTTGGGGTGGGAAGAGCTGGACATGCAGGAATCAGGAATTGCGAGAAGTAATTGGTACAGGCTAATTGTGGAGGAAATGGTAATGGCTATGGCAGTTCCATGCTTAGCATCAACATCATTCATTAATTATCACAAGCCAGCTGTTCATGTAACTGTTGCATTGCTAAAACTTCAGAAGGTTCCGGGGTGGATGAGAACTGTGTTTGATGACCTTTCCGTATCTTCTATAATTGAAAACCTTAAAAAGGACGTCAGCCCTGAGATGGTGCTTTTATTTCGAGCTCTCCTCAATTCTGGATTCTTGAAGGCAGAGCACATAGCCAGTCTTAATCATGCGCTCCAGGTAACACTAATTATATACAGTTTCTGTTCTCCTTTCTTTTGATCATCACAACTGTTGGTGTCACTCTATACTAGGATAACAATGAAACAAAAAGATGTGTTTTTGGGAAAGTATAAAGAACATTAATTGTTACACTGTCCAATACCAGGTTTTATGTATATTGCTTTAGCTGGTCAAGACCCGACAACCTGATACCATGTTTACGTTCGTTTCATGTTGCAGGCATGCAGAAAACGTATGTACAACAACAGTGAAGAACATCTCATGGACAAGCATGTTCAGAAGATTGTCTCCTCATCAGATGATTTGGGAGAAGTTTGTGGCTATCTCATTCACTTGATGATGTCTCAATCATCTTCAGACGCCAATTCTGGGAACAAAAGACTGTTTGAAGAAACAGAAATGTTTTTCAGCACTTCAACAGTAGAAGGTAATAGCTGAGCTTTAACAAAGTTAACAGTCTTCCTTTGATGTAAATATTTTTTGGGCCTCTTATCTGAGGTACTAATAGCTAACATAGCTAAGTGCTTTTGAACGATAAGCACCATAGAGAAATGGCAAAAGGAAATATAAAAGTAGTATTGTCTTCAACATTGGTGTGTATAACGTAGGAAAATCAAAATTCTGCTTATATTTACAAGTTACTAGTTCACTAAACTTCAACAACTGAAATAGCTTAGAAATAAAATTGGTGGATCTTTGCGCTAATAACTCTTTTCCAGTACATCAACGGCCTACCGCAACTGTGAATGTCATTACCTTGGCTTGCTTGCCAAGGAACTGCAGTTGGACTTGAACTAGATACTCAAGAGTAGGAAACAATTTACCATGGGAAGAATAATGAGTCTATGGCTTGAGGTGGTTTGTTCTGGTGAAGTAGCCTCACCAGTGCACTCAACTCCACAGGATTACCAGGATCTACACAATTGGTATCTCACCTCCGCGTATCACAGGCACATCATGCCTAATCCTTGTATTTACCTCTTATGACAGTGTCCACGGGATATAAAGAAAAACATCATTTTGTTTCTCCTTTTAAATGTAATTGTGCAGAACTAATGTTTCGTAATACAATGGCTTGTATCTTAGAATGTTGCTACATTTGTTAAGGTCAATGTCACTATAATGCCAATGCCTATGCTATGCTACTGCTACAATTGTTCAGCAAATCCACTAACGGAATTTAAGCATCACTGTTCCTAACAGCAATGTGCTGTGGAGATTAATACTGATGTCACATGCTTGTCGGCCCTCAAGTTTAGATTTAACTGGTTTTAGACAGAAACAGTGAGAAAAAGGAAATTTACATTAATCTAGAGCATACAATCTGTGTGCAGGGTGTGGATTAGTTGTGTTCCCTTTCACTTGTAACAAGAACAACTGTCAGAGGATGTCAATTGAGTAATATGAAAATGGAACAAGGATTACTACCTGCCTGGCTAAAGCAAGAGCTAACTTATTTGAAATTTATACAACAAGATTCAAAGAAAGCATAGAAGCACATAGAAAAAGTAACTAAAGCATACCTGAAATACCAGTAAGGACAGCTTAAGCATGATATGGATGATGAATTAATGAGAGAGATATAGACTACGCTGACAAGCATGGAGATCAATATCTACTTATGCAAACTATTTTTTCTACGTAAACGATGTGATCAAGGGCATTGAATCATATCTGTTCATTATGAAGGCAGCAGGTTTGCTTTTACATAAGATACAGATGGCAACAGTAGTTATGTAGAAACAAATAGATGCTATCCCATGAAGAATACTCCTCAGATTAGGTTTCCTTGATGTTGCTAGTCATAGTCCATAATTCTGGTCAGTAATGAGAAGATTTATCTGTTTTCATTATAGAAAGTGTGATGCTTCCATCGAGGTACAACAACTATTGACAATTTGGAAATCTGTATGCATTTTAGGTTAGTTTACCCAGACTTCGACGGACTGTCTTGTGCTATTGCTGCTTTGCTTTGTGTTTAATTACTAAATCGATAAGGTGGTGATATGTCCACCTTTTCTCTTTCCTGGCTTGAGGTTCAAGGGAGGTATATATCTCTTCACAATCTCTAAGAAAATGCCCCTTTCCAAATGCAATGAGAACCAGAGGATCAGTGTTCATTTCTACAGCTCTGTAAAGAAGGTCCATTTTTCTCCAAGTCTCTAAAGCGTCAGCCCCATCAAATCCAATCTCGATAGCATCCAATAAAATTCCAATAGTTATTATATCAGGTCTTACTTGATGGCTTGGTAATTGAGAAAGTAAAATTCTCAAGCGCTTGAAATCTTTCATCTTCATACAAGCTAGCAAGATAATATTTGAGATTGTTACATTCCATGAAGCTTTTGCTTCACACATCTCCAGGATAACAGAATCCATCCCTTTTCGGCTCAAAAGACAGGCATGAGAAAGGAGGCGCAAACACCAAACAAGATCATTTCTACCAGTTCTTGAAGCAAGGTCAATACCCAAATCATCTAGTCTTGAAAACATGTAGTTCTTGATATAAACACTGGCTAATAATCTAATTGTATCCTCCTTTAAAGTCATCGAATTCACAACCTTTCTATAAACCTTCTCCATCTTATCTAGAATCCCAAAGTTTGCATAAGCCTCAAGCATCGCAACCAAAGAAGAAGACTGCAAATTCATCTGTTTTGAGAGAAGGATTTGATAAACATGTTCCATTCTTTGGAGCAACCCACCGCGTGAAAACTCACGGACAAGCAAGTTATAGGTAAAATGGTCAGGTTGGCACCCGTCCAATGCCATCGTCTTCAAGCATGTACCAATTTCATCATACATTTTATAATTTCCATATGCTTCAAGTAGCCCATCATATGTGTCTGTTTCCGGTGCCAAACCAATTTCTTTCATCTCATTGAGGAAAGACAAAGCATCATCAAACTTTCCATTCCTGGCATAAGCATGAATGATTGAATTGTAAACCTCCAAAGAAGGTTTAAGACCATATCCCTCCATTTCTCGTAGTGCCTGGGATGCTTCTCCCACCCGTCCCTGTTCACCTAACAATCCTATAATCTTTTCATAGTTCAATTCATTGATTCTTGATTTCTCTAAATTCTTCCACATATGAAAAACCTGCCCACAAATGCATAAGTATTAAAATTTTAAAGGGCTCATTCAATGATGAAAAAAGATCATGGAGCTTGGAAACTGAAAACATCCCATGTTCTGCAGTCTTCACTGTATATTCCCACCCATTTTCAAAACCCAAACCTTTTCCATCCCATTTCTCAGAGGCCAATCAAAGTGAAATTTCATTTCATTTAGTTCAAAGAAAGGATCATAATAAATTACTACATCCTTAAAACCTAACGTTCAAATTTAGTAAAAACCTGAACTTTAAGGATTACATCATTAGAAAACAGAGAAAGAGCAAAGAAAGGCACCTGGAGAATTTCACTGGATCTGGAGGCATGCCTGAGGAACCTAATGACAACCCAAAAGATGTCCTTGGTCCAATCTCCGTCATCTCGAAGCATTTGCAAAGGGCAAGAGTCGTCCTTCTCCAGCCTTTCAAGTAAGGCCTTGAGCCGCCGGTGGTGATGATAGGTCTCAACGAGAAGCGTGGTATGGTTTTTGCAAGAAGAGCCATCCGGCGCTGGCGGTGATGGGCGGGCAGAGGATAGACAACAATGCCTGGTTGCTTTTAGGAATTGGGTTCCGCAGAAAATCTTCTTCTTCTTCTTGTTATCGTAGGTGGACTGCCATCTCAATGTAACTTTGCAGTGTAAACACAGGGTTAGTGCATTCTCCATCTCTAAAATCTGAAGTTATATTGAACTCTTTTAATTTTCTTGTTCTAAACCTCCATCTTTCCAACACTCAGATAAATAGATAAACCTTTAAGTATTTCATTTGTACTCGCCGTGGATGTTCAAGGGGTGTTTTCTGCTTTTTTAAATGATTCTTTTTCTAGCGTAATTTTCTTTTATTTTTTTCATAGTAACTTAGCCTTTTAAGTGCTATTAAGACAGATAATTAAAGAAAGAAACATACTTATAATTTTGTCAATATTCATTTAATTAAGTTAAACACTATATGGCTTTCTCATGACTCTTTTACAAAAGGATCGCCAAAAGAAGTAAATTTCTCAATATAAATTTTCAAAAAATTAAAAAAGATAATGTTAACTTATGGTAACGGGGTTTTTGCTTAGTCCAAATATTTAATTAGCAGTTAAAATTTAAAATTTATATGACAAGAGAGAGTTATTGTGTATTGTATAAATTGTAATTCAATATCACATGTATAAACAAAGTAGTGTTAGTGTTTAATTAGAAGGTTATTACTATTACAAAATTAAATGATCAAAGTACCACCACCTCTCTATACTCAAATATTTTTATTAATATAGTCCCTTTTATCTAAAAATTGATTCATTTAATTTCTCAATTTTAAAAATTTATACAATTTAATTAATTTCTCTCTTATGCAATCCAATTGTACTATTTTTTTTGCTAACGTGGAGTTGACATATTAAATAATGTTGACGTAATGATGACATGTCAGATAAGATTGACATGATAATGATGTGTTATACAAAAAATACCACATGGATTTTATTTTTTCTCTTTTCTCTTTTGCGCAAAACTATGTCATTTTGTTGCTACTATTTAAAACACATTTAATTTATTTTTTTTTTTCCATTTTTTCTTCTTTCTCTACACTTCCTTTCTCTATTCAAGGCCCGTCTCCTTTGGCTAGCGGAATTGAGTGAAGAAGGCCAGTCTCCAAGTTGGATTCGTTTTTATTGGGATGAAGCCCAAGTTGGACCTAAGAATAGAGTTTGTAATGCAAAGTGAAGTCGTTTGCCAATTAACACATGGCTAAAGACTTCCTTCGATAATCTGGACTCTTTTTCGAAACAACAAAATCCCATAATTTTCAGAAAAAAAAAAAAGTGTTACGTAACAATAGGGACAATTGCAAGAGGGGAAGGGATATGCATGAAAGACTTGTAAAGGTTGTTCGAAGGTAGAGATTTGACTACATGAAGGAATGTACTAACTAGGCTTTGCCTTACTTTGTAAAAATTAGGCTTCTTACCATTAATGAAGTCTTTGGCTTAATAAAAACTAAGTGGGGATGAAGGGAGGGAGGGTAAGGTGTGACTAGCTTTGAATAGAGTAAACGTTCAGTTCTCGAAAGGGTCTTTCAATTAGTAGGAGAGGCTGCTACTTTGAATGGTAGAGATGTTCCATGATTCAATGAGAAGAACCCAATTCTCGAAGGAATGTTAAGAAATAATGCTTCTTAAAGATCCCACTATGAGCTAATCAAACCAAATATCTCTTAAACATCTCAATTATTTGCTTTTAACTTTAGAATCTTGCCATGTATCTTAAAATAACAAAGCCCATACCAATTATATAATTATTGCATGAGAATAAACATTAAACCAAAAATATAAAAATTAATCCTTAAAAAACAAAGTAATAGTAAAATTGTATGATTACAAAATTATGCATCTTCAAATGGTACATAATTTACTAATTAGGCTTATCGTGGCAAAGAAAGTAAGAAAGAAACTCGCACAGCTTTTATTTATTTAACATAATTTTCCATCCAAATCATTTTTTTAACAAATTTTTGTTGTCAAGGTTACTTTCAAGGCCTCTTTTTTTCAATCAAGAGAAAAAAGGAGGGATGCTTTGTTCATGCTTAAAAAAATTCGTTGGATCAATCATTATCTTCACATGCACCAACCTATCAAAGTTCTTCTTAAAATACTTATGACCCCAAATACTTGCTTGCACAAAACTTGTCTTACCTTTGTTATTACGTCCGATGTCGAGATCTCTATAGTTAACATAAGCTTCTCGGGGATGTTTTGAAACAAAAGAGCTCATGTAACTATAAAAATTTCTAATCCAACTCAAGTACTTTTGAGATTTTATGTTGTCTTCTTCTTCCCAACCCACATTATATATGATCTTGTACAAGTTGCCAGCTCTATGTGGGAATGGAGTTGCAGTTTCTGGAATCTCATCCATTTTTCCTCCATAAGCAACAAAACTTATTCTGACAAATTTTGCGTCTACATCATAAAGTTTTGACCATATTCCTGTAAATGCAGTTTCAGGAATAGGTTCCTTCACATAGTCAGATTTCCTTTTGAATGAAGGACTAGCAAAAGTAGTCTTGTAACTCCTATCAAGTAATATATCCATGGTTCCATTTTGAATTTGGCCAAAGTAGAGAATAGATTCAATCCAACTCATTTCAGTACAATCTTCCTTCCTTAGTCCAAGTTCAGGAAATCTCTCTTGCATCAATGGAATGAGCTCATCAACGCCACCAAGATACAAGGATTGAAAGGAAGCTAGAATTGTCCTTTGCCTATCTTGACTAGAGTTCACCTTTCTAAAGGAAATAGCAGAGAATGTGTCATGAGGAAGCTTGGGCGCAACATATTGCCAGAGATGAACAAGTTTGGTTGCATTCTGTTCCAAGGTCTTGCTCACTGTGAATACTGTAACAGTTGTTGGAACATGAACCAACTTTACTTTCCATGCGAGGACAATTCCAAAGCTACCTCCTCCACCTCCTCGAATTGCCCAAAACAAATCTTCTCCCATGGATTTTCTATTGAGAATTCTCCCATTAGTATCAATAAATTGAGCATCAATTATATTATCAACAGCAAGACCGTATTTCCGAAATAATAAACCATAACCTCCGCCGCTGAAGTACCCCCCAACTCCCACAGTGTGACAAACACCAGCAGGGAAGGTAAGAGTTCTACTTCTTTCGGCAATTCCATAATATAGTTCTCCGAGAGTAGCACCAGATTGAACCCATGCCGCTTTATTTTCTACATCAACATCGATTGCTCGAAAATTAACCAAATCAATAATAACAAATGAAACTTCGGAAGTATAAGAAAGACCTTCATAGTCATGACCACCACTACGAATTCTAATTTGAAGCTCATGTTTTCTTGAACAATATATTGTAATTTGAATGTGGGAAGTATGCAATGGTGTCACTATGACTAAAGGTTTAGGAGTATCTGGTTCAGAGAATCTAAGATTTCGAATAGAAGACTCCAAAATAAAAGAATATGATGAATTATATGGTGTATAAATGACTTTAGAAATAGAAGAGGAGTCCTCCGAATGAAAAGAAGAAAGACAATGAAGGAATTTGTGGTGGCTTTGAGCTAAAATTGCCCATGACAATGATAAGAGAACAAGGAAAAGAATCGGAAACATTGAAAAGTAACAAGACCTCATATCTGAAGTTGGTTTTGTGCGTATGACTTCGTTAGGAGTGCCCTTATTTATTGTAGTACAGAGATCAATGATTGCATACATAGAATTTTCCTATTGTTTAAAGACTATCGAGCATATTGAAATTAAGCTTCCCGTTGTTTGAAAGTTTGAACATTAAGGGTAAAGCCAATCAGCAAAGCAAAGGTCAAGAAGTCGTTTTCCATACAGAAAAAAAGAAAATGTTCTTTCCCTGAACAGTGTCGTTACATTTATTTCAAATTAATTAGTCAACATTATCATTTTGCACGAAATTACAAGGCCAGAATATAAGTGGGAGTGAGCTTTCTTTAGTTGACTATTCTTACAAAAAGAAATATTCAAGCAATGATAAGTCTATTTCAAATATTCTAGCTGCCGGTGTCAATTTCTTAATGGACATGTGGTTGTTTCTTCTTTACGAAAGAATGTCATCCAGATGAGATTAAACGTTTACAAGTTTAGCAAGAAATTAAATGGATGCACCAGGAAAGCACTCAATTAATTGCATCTGGTCCTAGCTAACAAGAATCCAATCTGTTTAAGGCAAGGCCTTTAAAGCCTAGTTGTTTACTATGAACAAGATAGATTTGAATTTAAGATGTAGAAAGTTCTCTCGTGCTGCCTATCGAGCTCTATTTGCTTGCCAAACAAGTAGCCACGTGTTGCAATGTGCTTGGATTTTGGAAACATAGAAACGACTGATCTAAGCACTTGACTTCCCGGAGAAACTCAAGTACATTAATTAAGCCACTTCAATTAAATTTTTTGATTAATAGTTCTAGTACAGTGTAGGAAGGAATATTATTAGTGATGATAATATATATTTTTCCAAAAGGGATTCACAAAAAAAAAATGATGTGTAGAAATAATTAATGACCCCTTAAACGAGGTTTAATAACACACATTGATTAACCATATTGTTCGTGTTTCGCTCTTAAACTTTATTTTTTAATTTATTCTGTGCTAATTAAGGATGAAACTATATATATTTTTTAATGGAATAAGCACATTGTTTGTATATGTTTACAAATATAGGCTGACTTTGTCTTGCAAGAAAACTAAAGAAAAGCATAGGATGCTAGAATTCAAACAAAGAAATATCTGCCAACACATGATAATTAATCATTTGATTGGATTCTTTCAAGAATTTTGTTTTGTCCTCCCTTTGGATTGAGAGGATCGAAGGTGGGTGGAAGGAACGGATCAGAAGGGTTGACATGGTTAATTTTGCTACTTTTACTGGCTGATTGCTGAAGCAAAACCATCATCCATCATATATAATTTAACTGATATTCCATAAGAATTTCAGTACCCTACTTCGGTTCCACCAAACTAAAAATCTCTTAAATATCCTAACTTTATTGGGTTTAACTTTAGAATCTTGACACATATCCTGGAGTTAAGCCCACACCAATCATATAAAACTTCAGATAAAAGTACAAAAAATAATTCATAAAATACAAAGTAATAATAAAATTGTATAATTACAAAATAATGCATCCACTAATGGTATATAAATTATAATTTATAATTACGTCATGTATTCAAATCATCGTGGCAAAAAAATAGTAATAAAAAAACTCACTGAACTTTCTATTATTTAATATAATTTTCCATCCAAATCACTTTCTTAACAAAGTTTTATTGTCTAACAGACTTTTATTGTCAACTTACTCGATTGACATGCTTTCGTTAATCAAGGAAAAAGAGGAGGGATGCTTTGTTCATGCTTGAAGTAATTTTTGGGATCAATTATTGTCTTCACATGTACTAACCTGTCAAAGTTTTCCTTGAAATATTTACGACCCCAAATACTTGCTTGCACAAAACTTGTATTACCTTCGTTATTAAGTCCGATGTCAAGATCTCTATAATTAAGATAAGCTTCTCGTGGAGATTTTGAAACAAATGAGCTCATGTAGCTATAAAAATCTCTAATCCAACTCAGGTACTTTTGAGAGTTTACGTTGTCTTCCTCTTTCCAACCCACATTATATATGACCTTGTATAAGTTGCCAGCTCTATGTGGGAATGGAGTTGCAGTCTCTGGAATCTCATCCATTTTTCCTCCATAAGCAACAAAACCGATACCAGCAACTTCTGCTTCTGTCTCATAAAGTTTTGACAATATTCCTGTGAATGCAATTTCAGGAATAGGTTCCTTCACATAATCAGATTTTGCTTTGAATGAAGGACTAACAAGAGTAGTCTTGTAACTCCTATCAAGTAAAATATCCACAGTTCCATTTTGAATTTGGCCAAAGTAGATAACAGATTCAATCCAACTCATTTCAGTACAATCTTCCTTTCTTAATCCAAGCTCAGGAAATCTCTCCTGCATCAATGCAATGAGCTCATCAACCCCACCAAGATAAAAGGAGCTAAAGAAAGCTAGAGTTGTCCTTTTCCCATCTTGACTAGAGTTCACCTTTGTTAGGGAAACAATAGAGAATATGTCATGAGGAAGCTTAGGTGCAACATATTGCCAGCGATGAACAAGTTTAATCGCATTTTGCTCCAAGGTCTTGTTGATTGCGAATACCGTTACAGTTTCTGAGACATGAACCAACTTTACTTTCCATGCGAGGACAATTCCAAAGCTACCTCCTCCACCTCCTCTAATTGCCCAAAACAAATCTTCTCCCATGGATTTTCTATTGAGAATTCTCCCATTAACATCGATAAATTGAGCATCAATTATATTATCAATAGCAAGACCATATTTTCGAAATAATAAACCATAACCTCCGCCGCTGAAGTGCCCCCCAACTCCCATAGTGTGACAATTACCAGCAGGAAAAGCTAGAGTTTTACTTTTTCTAGCAATTCCATAATATAGTTCCCCAATAGTTGCACCAGATTGAACCCATGCAACTTTACTTTCTATGTTAACATCAACTGCTCGAAGATGAACTAAATCAAGGATAACAAATAGAACTTTGGAAACATAAGAAAGACCTTCCAAATCATGACCACCACTTCTAATTCTAATTTGAAGCTCGTGTTTTTTTGAGCAATATATTGTAGTTTGAATATGGGAAGCATGCAATGGTGTCACAATGACTAAAGGTTTAGGGGTAGCTGGTTCAGAGAATCTAAGATTTCGAATAGAAGACTCCAAAATGGAGGAATATGATGAATTATTTCGTGTATAAATAACTTTAGAAATGGAAGAAGAGTCATCGGAATGATGAGAGGAAAGACAATGAAGGAAATCCTCATGGTTTTGAGCTGAAGTTGTCCCTGACAATGATAAGAGAACAAGAACAAGAATCGAAAACATTGTGATGTAAGGAGGTTTCATTTATGAAGTTGGTTTTGTGCGTATATGAGTTCTTAAGAGTGCCTTTATTTATAACAGTACAGGGAGGGAGCAGTGCTTGCATACTTAGAAAATTTCCCAGTGTTTGAAGACTATCGAGCATATTTAAATTAAGTTTCCCGTTGTTTGAAAATTGGGTTAGCCAATAAGCAAAAGTCTGAGAAGTCGTTGTTTTTCATATATGAAAATAAGAAATGTTGTTGCCCTGAACGGTGTTGTGTCGGTTTCTTCAAAGTTAATTTCTCTACGTTATCATTTTGTCTAATCACCTTTGACTCTTAATTTCATAAGTGAAGATTGCTTTACACTGTAATTAAAAGGATAGAAAATCGTCGGTGTGAACTTTCCTTAGTTACTGGTCAAAAAAAAAAAACTTTCTTTAGCTGACTATCCGTACAAAAAATGTTCAAGCTAGTGTGAATTTAATAATGGAGACAACTGTTTCTTCTTCATTTAATCATTATTCAAGGAGTTGTTGGTGACATGTGATTTTAAGATGTGCGAATTTCTCTTGTGCGATCTTCCCGACGATATTACTTGTCAAACAAGTAGCTGCATGATTTTGAAAATATTAAAACGCGTACAGAGTGCATGACTTTCCAAGAAAACTCGAGTAAAATTAATTAAGCCACTTCAAATAATTATACTGCAAGCATTTGTAAGAAAATATCATATCAATTATTTTTTGAACCATCAAATGAAATATATATTATTCAATGGATTTAGATTTTAAAATTTAATCAAAAGTAAAGATCGGGGATACTTTGCTCATACTTGAAAAAATTTTCTAGATCAATAATTGTATTTACATGTATCAATCTATCAAATTTTTTTTTGAAATATTTATGATCTCAAATACTTACTTGCTTAGACAAAACGTGTGTTACCTTTATTATTAAGTCTAATGTCAAGATCTATGCAATTAGCATAAACTTCTCATGGATGATTTTGAAACAAATGAGCTCATGTAATTATAAAATTTCGCTACAACATTAATGGGTTTTAATAACCCTATTTTAGCTGCACTTTTATTTTTGCATCTAAAGAATTTGTTATAGTATTTGGACTTTAAGATTTAGATGCATTTTCTAGTTCATAAAAAATTTAATTCCTTTTATTTTTTTTGTTTTAATTAAAAAATTAGTACTCTTGCATCTTCCGATCTCTCTTTCTTTCTAAATTTAAAAAATATTAATTATTTTTTTCTTTTTATTTTTCACTTTTCCTAGTAAACACTAAGGATGAAAAATATCTTTCTTTCAATTTCTTTTACTTTACTCACCCTTTTTTTTCCATCTTTCGAATTTTTCTTCCCTGTTATCCAACATTTTTTGAAAATTAAATGTGCTAATTGTAGACATTTTACTTTTTTATCTGTTTATTTGTTGGTTAAGCATTAAAGTGTTCTGAAAACTGAGGACAAAATAATAATAATAAAATAAAATAAAAAAAGAGAAAAAAAAGGCCAGCTGGTCCCCGCCAGGCGCAAGAGTGCCTTGCCAGATGTGGAAAAATCGAGTCTGGCAAAGGCCTCACGCTGCACCCCTAGTCGTGGAAAAATCACTCCTTTGGTTTCTAAACTGTGTGCTTGGAAGAGCGGGTCCGGGGGCTGCAAAAGTCTACTTGGCTCACTATCTGAATCCAAGTGAGGTAAAAAAAAATCATACTATTTTCTTTGTGGATTTATTGTGTTTATATTGTTTGGATTTAGTCCATTTTATTGGGTTGAATATATTATTTGATGATGTAAAATGAAGTTAAATTATTTTAGTGTAGTATCCTAAAATTTTTAAATGGTATTTTACTTTTTGGAAATTAATGTAGACACCAAAAAATATAAAGATGAGAGTACTAGCAAAAATCACAAAAAAAATGTTTCTAAAATGATTAGTTTTTTTTTAAAAGTGAAATTAGATTGGAAGAATATTTATTAAAAATACCTAAACTTAGATTAATGAAATATGCATATAAAACAAAGATACATGTCTACACAAAACATGTTCATAATGTTAGATTTAGATAGCTAAAAGTAGAAACAAAAATGTAGAAAAATATTTAAAAAAGGAGGTGAATGAATAGAGTTAAAAAAAGAAGACCTAAATAGAAGATTAGAAAATGCCAAGTTTTTTTGAAAAAATGTATATAAATAATATAAATGGATCTTTATAAATGAAAAGAAATAGAAAATGAGAACAAAATATATTTATCATAAATGGAAATAGGTTTTGTAAGCAAGGGAAAAGGAAATATTTATATTACAAATTTTTTAGATATTTGCAAATATAATAAAGATAAAAATATATGATGCCATATAAAAATTATAAATAAAACGATTATTTTGAGTTAATTCAAAGATGGAATTTCATTCAGAAAGGGAAAAGAGTTACCTCTTTCAGGGTGAATTTCTTAAGTGCGAGATTCGAGGAGGATTTTCACTGAAGTGTCGACATAAATCCAAACTCTATATCCTAATACTCATTAACTCAAATAATCATTTTAAGTGTATAAAGAAATAAATTTATATAATGATGTATTTAAATTTAAATTGGTGCAATTAGTTAATTAGCTTAAACAGCTATCGTTAAACAAAATTAATTAAATTAAAATTTAAAATAAAAAATTAATTAATTATTTATTAAATACAAAATGTATAGTTAATTAAAGCATAATAGTTAATAATATCAGCTAAAAGTTATTGATTTAAATAGCATGTTTCCAAAAAAAGATATATACAATAAAAAAATAGATTAATAAGGTAGTAAATTATCGTAAATTATTAAATACATTGTTCTATAAATTATATATTAACTAGACCATGTTTAAGCGCGTTCATGTAGACATCACTCATAATTTTATCTTGTTATAGCATGCCATGTATATTTTGTTAATGAGATGGGAATTCCGATTATGGGATTTCTTCAAAGAGCTTGTAGAGACGAGTTCTACTGGAGATATCCCTAGGTGAGGAAAACTTCGAGACTTCACTAAAGTGTTGGGATAATCTACGAACGATTTTCTAATACAAGGTTGTTGCTCTTATTATTTAAAATTGGTAAATCATGACACCATTTTACGACTGCATCATGTGCACCGGTAAAATCAAATAAAAAGATTTAATCTACTAATATAATAAAGAATTAACTAATAAATAAGGATGAAGGAAACATAAGAATAAACATCAATGGTTTTAGTTTCAATAGGATAACTTAAGATTAAATGGTATTGTTAGTGGAACGGGTATCATGGGAGTGTTAGTCTTTTCCCGTGCATAATCGTACTCCTGAACTCGACTTTAAAAAAAATTTGTAGACCAATTTCTCGTTCTTTCGACGGACCCAAAATTAATTTAGGACTTCGTTGTTTAGAACTAAGTTAAAAGGTGACCAATCGCACTTAGATAAAATATTGGTAGTGACTTCTAACCTATTTATTTTCCTACATCAAGTGGTTGGGTTCTCGGACCTATACGTTACAACATTAATTAGAGCAAAAACCTAACGTTCCAATCATTTGAACAAGATCATAAGGTAATGTAATACTAGTAAATTGGAGCATTTATCTTCCTAGTACCTATTATTTGGGAATGTAGCCTTTAGTAGATTAATTTTTTGAGTCAGTTATTAATCCCACAAGAGCCATATGAAAATTAATTTTTTAAAAATTAATGAATAGATCCATGACTATATGGAAAATATAGAAACAATTTTTAAATACCAATTCATTGGAAAACATTTTTTTTCTTCTCATCTGTCTCCCCTCTGTCTTTCTGCATCTCTTTCTTTTCTTCCAAAATCTATTCCTTTCCCTCTTGGCACTTCTCCTTTCTAAATTCCCAAACCTCTTTCTTTTCTTTTTTACTTCCTTCATTCATTGCTTTTCCTAGATAAGCTAATTTTTCTTGTAAAAATCTCACTTTTTTAATCTCGCATTCTTTCCCCGAGAAACTAGGGTTTCGTCAAATGTTACCCCTTTTAGTACAAAACCAGGGCACTTGGATATTTATGCATGTGCAAACTATGAAGCATATCTGGATTAAAGTTCTTGTTGCTTGAAAGTTAATTTTGGTTGATTTAATAATGAGCATTCGCTAAGCCGTTTATAAAAAAAAAGCAATAAAAAAGTAATACCCATTTCTTCACGGACACAATTGTTCTCTTTATTTTTTTTTGAAAGATAAAATTTTGTTCTTCTTTTTTTTTAGAAATCTATCTTGTATTCGTAATAAATATAATCTAAATGACATATATTTCCGACTTGCAGATGCCCCCCTTGGAATGGATAAATGGTTTCTTCCATAATATGATGGTTATATGGTTGTTTTGGCTTGAGTATTTTGGAGTTTTGTTGTAACTTATATGGATTTTAACAGGTGTTGTAGCTACTTTAGTGTTTGTACTCTACTTTTGTACTTTTTGTTTGCTTGGTAATCTCTTCATTGCTTAATAAATTTCTTTGATTTTGCTAAAAAAAATGAAATGCACATATATAAAAATGACTTTTTGCCTTTAATAATTTGTGTTGTTCCATTTCTTTTAGATGAAATATCCTCACCTTCTCATTAACTCAGTTCTTAACTCACTACCTCTCTTCTATTTTTTCATTTTTGAAGCGCTCAAAGGTGTTTTTTGTAAATTGAAGCATTTGAGACGATCTTTTTTGTGGGGTGGATCCTCAGATAAACGCAAAATCTCCAAGGTCAAGTGGAGCATTGTTTGCAGGCCAAAGCGGTATGGAGGACTAGGAATCACTAGTCTTTCTCACAAGAATCTAGCCCTTCTCGCCAGATGGTGGTGGCAATACGGTACGGATGAGAAAGCACTATAGAGGAGATTGATAGTGGAGAAATATGGGATAGGCACAAGGCATTGGACACCCTCAACATCTCACACAGCGAGAATGTCTTCTGTACGAAGGAGTATTGTGCAACTCACATCCTCGGAAGAGATTCATAACCTCATTGGCCTCAGTTTCTAAATGTGAATATACTTAC